GCTTGCTGTCTTATTCATTGAAGAAAGCCAAATTTTCAGATACATAGTAATTTCAGATTCCCCAAACAATTGCAGGGATCAGAATGCCCGTTCACTTTCGCCCACACTCCCTTATGCTGACCGCATTAGTTTTCCATGCGAGTCTCTCAGGGCCTCTGTGAGCTGGCATCGAGCATTGTGCAGCCTCTTTCTGGATGCACAGCCATGGGTCAGGCAAGGAATGAGTACTTTGGAGCTCTGCGAAGGGGTGTGGTTTCAGTGACAATGGATGACAACATGATTCTTCGTAGCCCCCAGGCCACCTCGATTCTTCAGATGGCCGAATGCTCATCCCCATTCAGAGGAGGAGGACAGCAGGGCCAGGGGCTTGGTAAAGGCCATGTATGCTGGGAGGGCCTGCTGCTCAGAGAGATGGTTCAGGCTGAAGTCTGCTCTACACTGGTTAGCAGTGTGGCTTTGGGTTTTCTCAGCCATAATAAAGGACAAGTCTGTGAAAGTGTTTGCGAATGGCTAGGGACAACCGCACAGGCTTATTGATGTCACTTTGACACAGACTGGAGGTACTAGGACAGCCGTACAGGCTGATAAAATGTTTGCTTCAAATCAGGCTGTAGTCAGGCCTGTAAGGCATTTTCTTAATTGGTGATTGATGGGGGAGGGCCCAACCTATTGTGCATGGTGCCTCCCCTGGTGGGGTGGTCTTGGGTTCTATAGGAAGGTGGGTTGAACAAGCCATGAGGAGCAATCAGTAGATAGCACTTCTCCATGGCCTCTGCATCAGCTTCTACCTAAACCGGTTCCCCCGTTTAAGTTCCTGCCTTGGCTTCCCTCAGTGGACTATGACTGGGGATATTTAAGACAAAGAAACCCTTTTCTCCCCAAGTTGCTTTGGTCATGGTCTTTCATCACAGCAACAGAAACCCACTAAGGGGCTGGAGAGATGACTTAGTGGTTTGAGGGCATTGGATGACCTGGGTTCAATCCCCACCATCCACACGGCAGCTCAAATTGTTTATAACCCAAGTTCCAGGGGATCCAACACCCTCACAAAGACATACACGCAGGCAAAACACCAATACACATATAATAAAAACAAGTAAACCATTTCTTAAAAAAAAAAGAAAGGAAAAAGAAATCCTAGCTAAGACCACAGCTTGAAAAGAAGATGCAATTTCCTGACCCAGTGAGGGGAGAAGCACTCAGGAAAATGGCCAAGGACTGCAAGTCCAGGGTCCCCAATGACAGAGCATCGTGAGGAGGGCCTAATGTACTTGAAAGGTCCTTTCTGATGGCTGCGGACTTTTCAGAATGGGCGAGAGAATGAATCATTTCTTCAGGAACAAAAAAAAAAAAAAAAAAAAAAACACAAACAAAACAAGTAATAACTGGTCTTTGTAAAACTTAAACCTGCGCCCCCCCCCCCCATGACTCCAGTTCCCTCTCCAGAGGTGGTCACAGTGTCTGCCTCAGCTTTTGTTTCTGCTTTGGTGGATGCTTGTTTGGTACTGGAGCAGGTTTCTCAGCGGGCATTTTTAATCTCAATGCTGACGCCCACTTTCTCACCACCCCAGTAGTCTTGTCTTGGTGGGTGGTGCACTTCCTGCTGTTGGCAGCTCTCTTCCTAGAGCTCTCGTGTCTCAGGCCCCGTCAAACCCACTTCCATGTTCCCAGTCTGCTCCCTAGGTCACAGTTCTCCTAGTTATGATTTTTAAACTTGTTTGCTGGATTTTTAAAAGAGAGAGAAAGAGGGAGGGAGGGAGGGAGAGAGAGAGAAGGAGAGGGCTATTACACACATGTGGAAGTCAGAGGCAACTGTCTGTAAGTCTGTAAGTCTTTCCATCATGGGGGTTCTGAGGTGGGAAGTCAGGTTATCAGGCTTGGAAGCAGCACCTTTACCCATGGAGCCACCTTGGGAGCCTTTCAATATTTTTGAAAATTATATTTATTTGTGTGTGTGCCTGGTGCCCATGGAAGGCAGAAGAGTATGTTGAATCCCCTGGAACTGGAGTTATAGACAGTGTGAGTGTTGGGAATTGAACTGTGGTCTTCTGCAAGAGCAGTCAAAACTCTTAGCTGCTGAGCTGTCTCTGCAGCTCCGTTCACTGTGTATTTAATTTTAAGAAATTTTATTTTTAGAAGTTATTTTAAATCTGTCTTTTTAATATTTCTTTAACTTTTATA